ATATTCGTCGAAAGTGCAGTTACGCGACAAAATTGACAAAGTTTATTGACAGCATTGCGACAAGGGATTTGGTATGAGTGTTGGAAAAAAACACACAGAGGGTTTTTGTTTGGTCGGTGGGTAGGTTGTTTGAGGTACACAAACGTAGGATTGCTATAGCAAATTTGGTTTTGTTTAAAACACAGAAAGTTGAATCTATCAGCCCGGCTGTCAAATTCAGTTGAAAGAGAAACAAAAAAAGAGAATCAAATCGCAATAATTTTTGTCTGAACGTTGAGGATAAAAAAAAATAAACAAAAAAGCTCTAGAAAGAGTTACACGAGTTTAAAAATGAAACAATTTTAAGTTTGTTTGAGCAAACAGCTCAAACGACTTTAGCCATACCAAGCCACTCCAAATATAGTGGCTTGGTATGGCTAAAGTTAAACTTGGAGTGGTCCAAACTATTAAGGCATAAGGCAACATCCTAAATGATAGCTAGATGTGATTGCATATAAAAAAGCAGACATGGCTAATTTGGAGTAGCTTGAAATGGCAAAAAAAAATTTGGAGCGGTAAAAATTGTTAGGGAATAAGGCAACATCCTAAAAAATAGCGAGACATGATTGCATCTGAAAAAAGCAGACACATTTTTATACATAGAGCGGAAAAAGCTCTGCATTCTAATTAGGACCACAAAAACAAGACAAACGATTATGGACAGAAGACAGAAAAAACCATGTAAAAATACTGAACGTCAATCTCTTTTTAAATAAGATCGTTTGACTACTGAATACAAACTTCAAAAAATGAAAGTTTTAAAGTTTAAGCCATTCCTCAACCAGAAATTTAGCCTGGCTAATATTGTGGTCGCATACAACGTCAGCCAATATAGCATTAAAATTGCGATAGTCAGAAAGGTAGTCGCGATAGTCTTTTAACTTGTAGCGATAATCTGGAAATTACTTTAGTCTAAAAACTCATCGGGGTATTATAAAAATTAGTTTAGAAGTTAAAGTTCAAAAATTAATCGCAGAACTTGAAAAAAATGGCACGAAAATAAGAAATAAAATTTTTAAAGTCTAAGAAAATACCTTAACTGCCCGGAATTGAATTAAATGAAATTCAAAAGTCTCGAGACAATTAGTCATGAAAGTCTGAATGTGAAATCAAATCAGTCTGAACATAAGTCGCGAATAAAGTCGCGAAAATAAAGAAATTGGATTACTTCCATCAAATCATTTCTCACAGGTGTTATTACAATAACAGTCACTGACATGTGCAATCAAATCAAGCAAGCTTCCACACGAAAACTATAAACAGAAACGAATGCAACGATAGTAAAAAAAAATGGGCCTGGCTTTTCGAAGAATATTCGTCGAAAGTGCAGTTACGCGACAAAATTGACAAAGTTTATTGACAGCATTGCGACAAGGGATTTGGTATGAGTGTTGGAAAAAAACACACAGAGGGTTTTTGTTTGGTCGGTGGGTAGGTTGTTTGAGGTACACAAACGTAGGATTGCTATAGCAAATTTGGTTTTGTTTAAAACACAGAAAGTTGAATCTATCAGCCCGGCTGTCAAATTCAGTTGAAAGAGAAGCAAAAAAAGAGAATCGAAACGCAATAATTTTCATCTGAAAAGTGAAGATAAAGAAAGATAAACAAAGAAAGCGCTAGAACAAGTTACACGGTTTTATAAAGGAAACAATTCAATTTTGAGTTTTGTTTGAGTAAACAGCTGAGGAAGACAGTGTCACAAATATGAAAAAGAATCTAAATTAGAGCAAAATCTCAAGTAAAAATACTTAGTGACTCAATTGTACGGGCAGGAACAATGTTTTGTGGAGAAAAAATTGTGAGAGGTTTAAAGTAATGCGACAATACATTGGCAATTACAGTGAGGGGTATCAAAGGTTTCAAAAATTTACGGAAAAGTCGAAACGGAGATTTTGGACTCAACGGGTAATTGGTAACAAGATAACTGCTATAGGACAGCGAACCATTGATTAAAATCGCATTCGGAATATTTGGTTAAGGAATATAAAACAAGAATCAGGTCGAGGCGCTGTTTTTGGCGAACAAATTTTGAAGATTTACCACAATTAGACAGGGTTCATTTAACAAACTGTTTTAAAATACATTGGCAATCACAGTGAAGGGTATAAAAAGTTTCGAAAAAGTTCGGTAAACTCATAGAAAAACAAAAACTTTTGATGATCAGTCGAGTTTTGATACTGAAGGCACCTGATTGGTACTGAATAAAAATGTGCGAAAACCATTTAGAGTTAAAACGTACCCAGCTTGGTATTAAAGAAGGCTAATTATCAGCTACACTTGCACTTCGGTTGTTTACTTCCAGTGCAGTCTTTGCCATTCTAATAGGTTTTAACGTAGAAAAGAGCGCTCTATTCTCCTTAAACAGGGGGAAAATGGTTAAAGAGATTCGGTTCATGGTAAAAACTAACTTTCCACAGTTTTTGTTTCCGGCCTTCCGCTCATGAGCCTTTCGCGCTTTCGGTACTTCGTCCAGGAAAAAACTCGCTTATATTTTAAGTACAATTTTTTCCCATTATCAAACAGTTTTAGTCGTTCTATAATGAATCAAGTTGCACATCTGAATGAGGTATTGTGATGCAGTTTTCTTATAGATCTCTCTTTTGAAAAGCAAGAAAAAAAAACCATTTTTCTAAAATGCGTCATCGACCCAAAAAGCCCCACGAACATATCTTTGCAACGCAAACCTAACAATAAAAAGGCAGGTGTGGTAAGAAAACGGGATCTTCGACGGGCACTTTCAGATGAGCAATTTATTCTGTTTTACGCCAAAAACGTCTTTCATGTAGTTTTCTATTTGGGCCAATTTCACAGACCAGAGTTCAAATTACTTGAACTTGTCGTCGAGTCGCACTTGAGTTTTTCTCGTTTCGTTTCATTCTGCCTGTTACTGACTTTTGAGATCCATTGGGATTGGCAGGGTTTCTCGAAATCTTCGATTACCCTTAGTGAGATGTCTACTAAGATGCCAGCTCTTTCCTTGTGAATTCTTCTTTCCAGTTGCAACATTGGATTTTTCGAAATGACAGAAAAACGCGTTGCTATTTTTCTCAATTGTTTGAAGATTCCTCATGTGCATCTTCCGCCGCTTTTCACCAAACAATTTTTTAATGAAATTTTTAAGCTCGTTTGCAATAGTGTTCGATATTTGTCAATTTTTAGTTTGCCATGTATTTGCGTTCACATATACTTCGGTTCTTTAGTTCGGCATCTTTACTTTGGGTTTCATTTCAAATTCATAACTTTTCTCTGAAAATCTAATCAGTTTGTGAGTTTCAAAAGACTGTTTCTCAATAGGCAAACGGCGGCGCTTCTACTGGTGACGGAAATCATTTAAAAACAAGGATAGCCGGTAACAAGGATAGCATAGAATGTTCCGATCAGTTTTAAAGTTACAACAAAATTATTTTTTCGAATTAGTGTCGTTTTTTCGGCGTGGTGTGATAAATGAACCTGAGCGAAATTGTAGAATTTAGGCATTTTTGTCAGTCATTAAGAAATATGCAAATTGGAAAACAATTTTTGAAGGCAAATAACAAGAAAAACAAAAAAAAATAATTTGTTTTCTATTTTTTCAATTTTTTTCCCAACATTTTGAAGTTTTTGATTCCTAAGATGAGGCTAAAAACTCCAAAAACTAACTTCATTTGATTATAACTAAATTTTCAAGGCTTAAATTAAGCATAAATAAGATAAAGTAAGCCTGCTCACTCGCTCGAAATTAGACGAAAAACCAATAATTCAAACCGTTTTTTTTTTCGATACAGGGAAAACGGCTAAAAGGGAGGTTCTAATAGGATATATCACTCAACCCAGTCCGATATTTATTTGTGGTAGTTAGTTTCGCTTGGAAAACAAAAAAAAACAAACCCGGATGACAACGTTTCTCCCCATTTTCAATGGTCGGAACAAAAAACAGGGGCCACTGATTTGCAAAATACTTTTGTAGTCAGACTGTTATCATCTCAAATGTCTTTTTTTTTCCAACCCATCTTGTTTTGGATAACTTTGTTTTATTCATTGGCATAATGCTAGATAACTTTCAATAAAGGTCAGTGATTAGCTTATGCTTCTGTGATATTACCCGGTTGACTGTGCTTGTTTGCTACCTTAATAGATACCAATATTTTAATTGTAACTTGCAGATAAAATCGATTCTTGGGATGATCGTCCAAAATTTGTTTTGTGGTGCATCAAAACCTTAATGGTCCTGGTTTATGGCTACTGTCAGTTGCAGAACACATACAGCTCGTATCCATTCCAGACCGATGAAAAGGTAGCGGGTAATAGATGAAAGGGCGCTGTGAAAACATTTTAATATAACCAGCTCTTTTATTTTCATCTCTCAACATCCTTTTGATTAAAAAGTTTCCGTGACGTGCTATTCGTAATATCTTGTTCATTTGTTTGCTTATATTTCATCTATTTAAAAGTTGAGAAAAAAAAGATAGCTGAAGATAGAATAAGCATACGCAGGTCTTTTTAAACTTATATTGCGTGATTGCGTGTCGGCATTATAATACGGGCAGTAAAAAAGAGTGAAAACATTTGAATAGGAAAAGTGAAAGCAAAAAAAGGAATTCCGCGGAATTATTCTGAAGTTTACGGTTTATCTTTCCAGTAGAGATTACCAGACCATATGGCCGAAAATAAATACAGTCATCAGAAAAAAGCAAGACTTGAAGTAAATAACATCATTAATAATAAATAATTCCTTTGCTACTATAGTACTTCAAGAAAAACTGAGGATCCCTACTCCGTCAAAATGATGAAGCCGCCGACTGTAGTGTACCGGCATTAATCAGGATTTATGCTAAATGGACCCACTTTCTGGGAAATACTGCTCTCTGATTGGTTGGATTCGACAGAGCAGTGGATGCTGAGGGCCACTTGAAACAGTGCTCAACTAACATATAACTGGCTCAATTTTCCTATTTGTGAATAGAATAGTATTGAGTCTTTTCTCCAGTTGTTGGTGTCTAAATTTCGGCTCTTCCAGCAGTTTCATTCCAGCAGACGCTGACTGAATTTTAGTTACATTAAATCCCTCTCTCTCTCTCTTTTGCTTTTTCTTTCTTTCATATTCTTTCATTCCCAGTTCTGCTCTCTCTCTCTCCCCGACCGGCAGTTGAGGAATTTCTCTTTTTTGGCTGCTAATTTCTTTGCCATTCTTTTTTCGCCGCTTTTTTGAACTGAAGCTCAATCCAAAACATATACCTGTGTGACTCTGAGTATATAGGTATATACAGAGATATCTCTTTAGACCATATATAGAGAACACCTTTGAGACAACTGAGATTACGGAAGCCCGAGCAGGCTAGCTGAGAGGATCACTGCCATCGCCAGGATAGAACCTAGACTATATAGTAGATCACACTTACCTTTGCTCGCCACTTCTGCTGGCACGCCGCGTCACTTACTAAAGCAGCATAGTACCAATTGAATATATTGTCACTTTCTGCTGATATTTTGGCTGCTTTATTGCTCCTTTTTAAAAAAGGTGTCTCAATATAAGTCATCTCTTTACCCTGAAAACATACAAGGCAAATCAGCTTTTCCTTTAAAATTCCAAATTTTTGGAAGTTTCATGTATTTTTTCAACCTCATCTTTTTAACATTTGTGTCATTTTTATTTTGAAAATTTGAGTTTTTGTTGTCATTCAATTTAATCAGTTGATTGCTAGCTTGTTGAACTTTGAAACCGCACAAGTTAGCCGCAAGCGAAATAACAACTCCGAGTTATTACAAATTTATAAATCCTATAATCATTAATATAATAACTTACCATCGCTAAAATATTGATAACAGACTTTAGTTGAATAAAGGACATTTAGTTTCCACAATAGTTAACAAGATATTCATTCATCTTGTTGATTTTTTCATTTCCGAAGTTAAAAAGTTAAATCTCACAAAGCCCGAAAGGCGCCTTACTTTATTCCGGTGCAATATTTGTTCACAGCAAACTAGATCCAACTTTTTCCTCCGCCTGAAAGGAACGTCTTCCCAACTTAATTGCGAAATTTATCTTCGAATACCTGCGCGAATATTCATCACTTTTCCGTATTTTTGTTCATCGGGGGCTTTTATCCCCTATCGCTCAGGCAACTTTTCTTCTCTGCTCAAATTGTGAAATCTTAATCCGACCACTTTTCAGTCTTGTTCAACAGTTTTTACTTGAGAGGTTCTTTTGTTCAACCTCTGAACCAACACTTTTCAGTTGACCGACTTTCCTCCCTGAAGAAGGCGCACAGTTCCCAACCCCCAAGATTTGAATCATACCCATTGATTAAAGGAACTGATAATTATCTTGAATTATCCTAAACAGATACTAATTAGCATACTCATTCAAAGAAATTCACTCCTCATTTTATAAATGAACTGTGCAAATAAATGCACTTAGAAAGTTTCAGTAAAAAACTTAAAGATTGAATTTTAAAACTTAACCATATATTTAGTTAGGTTTATTTACTTCGATTATTTTGTTTATTTTCTGTTATTTGCCACTTATGTTCACTTATAAATCCTCAGTTACTGCTGGCTTTTCTTTAACAAACTGTCTTGTTTAATTTGGAAATTTCAGTATTATTTTAATTTAATTTTCGACATTTATAAATTTCCGCAATTTTCATTTAGTTATTATTTCCTTAGTTAAAAATTCAGTTTCAATAAACATTAAAATGGTAAGTGAAATTTAAAACTTTTATGAATTCTGTGGAATTTTGCATGTTTCCGTTTTCTTTCCTCACGGAATCGATCTTTAATAAAAACAGCGCTTCTGCCTATTAAAAACAATAAATTTTAGATTTTTATGAGCAAACAATTCGATAGCAAATTTAATAAACCTCTTCTCCAAACATGTGTCAATTAAATTGTTTTTAGTTGACAAAAAATAATTGATAATGCATGTCACTGAAAACTAAAAAAGTGTCTTCGTTTCAAATAAATTGAAATTATCTACGCCTCTTTAAAACATCATAATCATGAACTATGCCTGAAGTTCATAATGAAAAAAAAAAACTTAAAAAGTGAAGACAAAAAAGGATATGAAAATTGCGAAAATACTGGATAGCTTGTTTTTTCTTAGCTCAATCCATCAATAAAAAAACAAAAACAGTTTTACAGGAGTGTGTAAAATTAGAGCATCTAAATCTATAATAAGTTATAATAAGTTTCAAAAGTTATTCACATTAAATTAAGGTAGTCATATTAAGTGGAGGGAAAACATTCTAAATAAAGTGGAGAGACTATTTTTTACTCTAAAAAACCTTATTTTTTTAATGAAATAGACAGTTAGTAAATTATAAATTTAAAAATGAATTGCAGACGGATCCCAACATCTACCTGGCGTCTCTCAACACTGCCAACCTCTTTCTCATGTCGGGACTCCTCGACAACCCGAACCCCTCTGCCCCCTCCCCCGCTCTGGGGGGATCGACTGGGGGACCTCTGGCGGAAACAGTTTCTCCCTCTCAGAAGCCCTCAAGATGCCGAATGGAGGCACGAAGACTAGTCCACTGGGTTCGGACTTCGCAGGAGCCCTGTCCAACTTCGGCTCGGGACTGGGACCGAGAGTGATGACTCCAAACAAGCCGGATTTGAACCAGAATTTAGGTGAATCTAAATGCTTAAAATCGACTGCTGTACAAATAACTCTGAGCTAAGAATTTTGAAAACAAAAAGCCTCGCGGAAAATCAAATTCAGCCAGCATGCTAACTTCTTCTTAAATTATGCAAAGATCTTTCACATTGGGAATTCTTTCGAATTTCGATGAAATTAATCTAACTTCAGATTTTAATGATAAAAATCAGAAGAGGGTTTAGGGGGCGGGGGGGGTGGGGGGGGGGGGGGGTGGGTGCGGCGGACGTTTTCTCTTCCCCCCTCAGGGATTCGACCACCTGCCGACCCAAAGGGTACCACTTTGTACTATTTTGAGATATCCATTTTTGGCTTACTGACCTTAAAATTTTTCTTAAGGCGCCTTTGGTGCCAATCTACATCAATTTTGAGGGGGGAGCGCGCGCCGAAAAACGCGATTTTTTGGTCGAAATTTTCCAAAAAGTGCCTAAAAACGCCTTTTTTGGCCTTTTTTCAAACATTTATAGTGGTTTGAGTGGTTTGAGAAAGCTCAGAAAATCAATTTGACCGACCTAAAAAAAGGTCGAAAAAATTTTCAATTTTTTTTTTGAAAATCCGCCCCCTTCGAGAAATTCTTAGATGATTTGAATCTGATGATTTGAATGTTTTTTTTTTTTTGTAGTATATTTGTTCGGTGAATTACAGACTGAATATTTTTTGCCTGTTTCCAGGTCTCTCGCTGAACAGCTGCTCTTTCGCCAACACAATGTCTGTTGACCCTATCAGCAACAACTGCAGCAACCCCCTTCTAGGCATGAACAACAACCACCACCACCTCAGTCTCTACTCGATGGGGTTAGGGTCCAAGGAGAGCAGCAACTCCACTTCAGATTTCCACTTCTCCTCTCCCCCCAATCTCCACCACAATCTGAATGGCAGCTCACTCGACCTCTCATCTGCTCTCAACCACAATCACGACTCATCAGGTTGCTATGGTTACTACAAAGCAAGAAATGATACAAACTTTCTCAAAATTAAAAATAACTTTTTGAAATCGCTCTGAAAATCCTAATATTTTTCGAAATATTCTGAAGTACGAATTCCTTGTATTAAAATATATTTTTTTTCAAGGTTTAAATATACCACTCGTTATCGATTTTTTTTTTAATTTAAGAAAAATAATAATTAACGTGATATACCAAAATGAGTAGAATGTTTCATTTAACCTTTTTTGCGCCCTCATTTTGATTATTTTTGATGAAATGATGAAATTCACAATGCAATGCGATAACTCAACTAACGACGTGGCAAATCAACACCAAATTAAAGCATCTAAGCGTTTTCTCGTAATGTTTGTGTATATTTTCAGGTCTGTCGAACGGGTCGGGGGGAAATGGGAGCTGCATGGATTTGAGCAATGGAGGAGTGTTGCCCCAGCCCCTGCCCAACGAGAGCAGCACCAATCTGATCACAAACTACCTGCCCCCCTCAATGAAGCAGGAAGAAGTGAGGGTCCTTTTCTCTGCTATCGGAGAGGTCGAGAGTTGCAAGCTCGTAAGGGACAAAATTACAGGTTTGTTACTTGAATTAAATATAAAATTTCATGTTTTTTAACAGTAAGTTCGACTGTTTCCTCGATTTAAATTTACGCGTAATTTTTTTGCAACATTTTTTTTGAACAGATGCCGGTTGAAGCATTTTTCTGAGCAGCAAAAAAAACGCTTGTTTCACATGCGCTAATGATAAAATCAAGGAAAAAAATTTCAAGTCAAATTGGCGCATGGGAGTCAGATATGCTTAAATTTGAAAGAATTTAGTAGAAGAAAAATACATTTGCATCGACAAAAAAGACAGATTTCAAATTGTATGAACTCGAAGATATAAACACAGAGGCAAATCAGAGCTTCATTGCGCTAGGTGCTAAAAATTGTTTTAAGAAAGTTCGAAAAACAAGATCTTCCAAAATTTGTATACACTAGACTTGAGTTGGAATGTTCATTTTGAGGAAAACGCTGACAATTATGGCAACTGCAGGTGTTAAACTAGCATCGAAACACATTCTACAACATGGCAAATTTTTTTAATTACACACAGATAAGAAACTCTTTCTCCCAAGAGACGCAATTGAGGCGACTTAGCCATTATCTCACAGAGATGACAAAATGATTAAAACGTTCCGTTGCAAAAATTGTTTTCAAATTTCTAAGATCATTATTTGTAGTAACGCGTCAGATTAAAAATTTTGGTAATTTATTCTAATTGAAACCAAAAAGACCGCTCGTATCAAGTCAAAGTTTTAAAAATTCGGACTGCCCTCCAAGGTTTTTGAAATAGTTTTTGGAAATTTTTTTTAAAGTTGATAAACTATTTAAAAAATTGAAATAATTTCTGAGTTCTTTCGAATTATTTTATTATTTTTTTCTTTTTAAAACCTTTTGCAAAATCACGAAATAACTCGCGCGGTAACTATACTAAATGGCAACGTTCAAACCAAATTGCTTTAGAAAATCATCACAGGAGAGTATATTTTTTTTACATTTGAGACTGGGACATTACTGGTTTTCTGATGATATAAAAAACTCTGTTCAAAATGGCTAGTTAAAAAGTGGAAATTAGTCTGAAAATAAAGAAAAAGCACACCAAGCACAAGTTACTTTGTCAATTTCTACAAAAGTAGGAACAACAAGAGAATCAATTGAACATTCCAAAGAAATCGTCTTCAGTTATCGTAACAAAATCTAGTTCGATCACTCCAAAATCTAATTCGATCACCAAGTTTTTTTGGTCTTAAATAGCTCAAGAAAAGTTGTCATTGTCGAAGAAAAACTTGTTTCCGCTCTAAGTCAAATTCATTTCAAAATATAGATTTAATTGTTAAATCAAAATTCTGTTTGCTCTCTTTAACTGCTGAAGAAAATCAGTTTAAAAAATTTATTTAAAAAGTTTAATTAACGATTTTCGGAGAGAAAAAAAAAAGAAACAATTACCGAAGATTTTTTTTGCATTCGACAAAGTTGGTTAACCACCATCAGCGGTGGATTTAGAGTTTTCTCGAGGGCGGGGGGCGGATTTAAAAAAGATTCGAAAATTTTGTCAAATCCCTGATAGGATCCACCCCCCCCCCCCCCCCCTAAATCCGCCTCTGATCATCCTAGCGATTTGTCTCAGTTTTGCTTGTCAATGTTTTCCGATGACCGAGAAAAATATACAATATTTTCTGACCAGAATTTATCAAATTGTTTCTAAATTTTTGTTAACTCATTTTCCGACTTTTTTGCTCAACACTTTAGCAGCAACACTGGTGATCTATTACTCGAATATGATTTAGAAAGAAATGATTGCTTTAAATCATTTTTTATTTCAAAAAAAATGATTGCTTTAATTCAAAAATAGCTTTGAATGGGCAACATTAGTTTAGATTATCAGTAATTTAACAACATTGGTGCTAGAATTGTATAACTAATTGCATAATTAAAACAAGCATAGCCGGTTACTGTGCAAGTAGCACCGAATGTGCAAGTAGACGATATTCCTAAAATATACAAAAATTCCAGTTACTGTCGTTTTTCCTGCGTGGTGTGATAAGAGGATCAGAACAAAAACTTAGAATATAGGAACATTCAACATGCGTAGTAAAATAAGCAACCTGAAAACAATTACTTGTAGAAAATGAATACAAAAATTAAAAAAAAATTCAAATATCGTTTCAATTTTTTGCAATTTTTTTGTTTTTTGTTCTTGAAGTTTTTAATTCAAAAATCGCTAAAGTACTAACAAAAACTTATTTTACTTGGGTGAAATTAAATTTTTACGGCATAAATAAAGCTATTTTAAGCTTTTAAAATTGAAAAAAATGAAACTTCGTAAGCCTGCTTGCTCGCTTTACTTGCTCGAATTTAGACGCAAAATCAAATAAAAATCAAATTGATTTTCTGCGGTAAGATTTTTTGGAATATCGTTAGAATCACGACTGAAAAAACTTTAATATGATAAATCACTCAACTCACTTCGATTAATACTTGTGGTAGCTGATTTTGCGTGGAAAACAAAAAATGAAGAAAAAACTAAGACACATCCGAATGCAAAGTTCCTCCCCATTTTTTCACATGATCGTAACAAAAACAGCCAGCACCAAAACTACTCTAAAAAGCTTGTAGGCCAATCAGAGCATACAAAATCTCTAAGTAGCGGAAAATTTGAGCTTTCTTCTGTTAACAGAACGTAAAATAGTTGTGAGCGAGATATTGCCAGGTATGCGAAAATGGGTAAATTTTACGCTTGTGAAACATTTTTTTTGCATATAAACAAAAATTTGAATCTATGGAAAAATCTTTCACCAAAAAATGCGGTTATAGAGCGTAGATACAAGCAAAGAGTTTAATTGATTTCAAAAATTGATAGTACTAAAATTTGATTTGTCTTCACTTTTCAAAATTCATCTGGGGTGATAGTTTCAGTAAATCGGTGTATCAACAAATATCAAATAGGCGGATCAGATCAAAAAACTAAAATTACACGATTATTGCACAATTAAATTACATAGTCACAAGTCTGAAGTCTCATATTTGTAACAAAAATTTTATCTTCTTCATTTTAGCTTTTAAAAAATCAAAAATCAATTCTGTAAATATTTGAAGACAGTTTTGAAAAATTATCATCTAATTCAATTTTCTGATCTCGTGAATTACTGATAAATCAATTTACTGATCGCATCTCGTAACTGGGCTTCAACTAAAGTTTAACACAGAGGCGGAGCAGTGCTTCCCACCAGTTCCGATAGAAAAATGAATGAATCTCATGACTTGCAGATGAACTAGAAAATTTTTTAAGTTTTTGTGTTCAATTTGTTGGTTCATCTGCAAGTCATGAGATTCATTCATTTTTCTATCGCAACTGGTGGGAAGCACTGCTTCGCCTCTGGTGGGAAGCACTGCTTTGCCTCTGTTATGTATGAATTTTTCTAAACTTTTTCAAAGCGGCGAAGCAAAATGTCTCGCAACATGCAATAAAATTCATACATAGCAAGAGAAAATAACCGACAAAAAAAGAAACAAAAGCCGTACCGGAAAATATCTAAAAAACTGATATACCAATTTTTTTTTTTTCAAAATTTGTCTTGATTTTGTATTGAACAAAATTTTTTTAACGTAAAATCATGCCAACAAGTAACACAACTGAATAGTGAAAAGGCAACGAAACTCAGCCGACTTTTTGCGAGCAGAAACACGATGTGCCGAAAAAGCAAGTTTTCAAGTACGACCACGAAACTTTTATTAATGTATTTTTTTGCTCCTCAAACGACTAAAAACAGCCTCTGAGCCCATATATTATCAATCAAAACTTTTTAGGTCGAATCAAAAGGAAAAAAACGAAACAAAATAAATCGGAGTTTGTAAAATGGCAGGCAATATAAAAAAAACATTCAGATAGAACGCTTATTTTAAATGCAAAGGCATTCTCTATTTGTCTGCTCTCCATCTGTCTGTTCCTTGAGAAAAGCAGAGATGATCCATTTAGTAACTCATTGTGACTCAAAATTGGATAAACCACTGGACTCGAGATTGTATTTCAGCGTTTAGTTGTTTATGTAGTTGTAACGTTTTAAAAACTTTTGTCGCCAATTTTGTCGACCTTTTCTTAGGTCGACCAAATTGATATTCCGAGTTCTCCCAAAGCACTCAGAAGAACCTAATATTTTTTGAAAAAACAGGCCAAAAAGGCCGAAAAACAGGCCTTTTTACCAAGAAATTGCTTTTTTTCGGCGCGCGTTCCCCTTTAATGTTAGTAAATATTAGAGAAGGCGCCTTCAAAGAAATTTTAGGGATCGTCAGTCAAAAATGGTTATCTCAAAAAAGTACAAAGGGAGACTTTTTGGGTCGGCAGGGAGACTTTTTAATATTCATGTAGCGCTTCTGGATACATGTAAACTTTAAATACTAATCCAAAACTTCCACTTTTAATCGAATGATAATAAAGCTCCACTTTTTTCAGTTTTAGTTCCGACTATTTGAAGTAGTAGAGAAATTATACTGTGAATACGATTGCTCTGCACGTAACCCACGAACTTCAAATGCAGATCACATAAGGTCATGTGATATATCAGATTGATGCCTTTTCAGTGACGAAGTGAGTTGCAAAAAAAAGTACTTTTTGTGTTTTTGTCATAAAAAACAAAAAGATGTAAAATGCCAACGGATTTTGAGTTATAAAACTCATCATCAGTACATATCTTTGTGTTTTTGGTTTGTTGTAGACTAATTTAGAGAATAAAAGTTTTACGCATTTATTCTCGTCGGAGTGATTCATATTGTTGCTAGAAAAATTCTAAAAAAAACGTAAAAATTTCTTCATTGAACACTCCGTAATTAATGAATCCGCAGAAGCGTGATAAAAAATCACAGAAAACATTTTTTTTGCATTACTGTTTTTGTAAATTGATCAAAATGAAAATACTTTTGCTTGCTAATACCAGTTAACATGGAATTTTACGAAATAATTTCAGAGTCAGCTCGGAGCATTCGATTCCTACGGATGTAGATGTAGCCTTTTCTGATATTAATTAGGCGTCAAGGCGCCTTCAAAATTCACATTTGTTATTTCAGCTTATCTTGTTCATTTCACTATTTCAGTTTAGTGATGTAATGCACGTTTTGATTTTTAATGAGCTCTCTTTTGGCGACGCACCTAGCGTGCTAATTTAATTGCAACCTGAAAGCTACTTCTCAGGTGGCTGTCAACCCCAAGTCACCTCTGAAGTCTAGTATCGATTTTACCGTCCATACTAATTACCATATTCATTAACACCTCTTGTAAACCAATGCATAGATTTTTCCATTTTATCTGCAAAAGTTGAAGAAAAAAAAACATTTTTTGTTCTTATTTTTGTTTTAAAATTGTAATTTGAAGCTATTTAAAAAAGTGCTGACTTTTTAATATTTAACAAATATAAGCACAGTTTCTATGTGGAACAAATGGCTCTCTTAACGCATGAGCTTATTTGGCTATGATTACGGCGGGTTTGAAAAAGTTGAAAAAAAGAAATCAGTCAATAATTTCTGACATCTGACTACTCGTGGCTGAAGGTAATTTGCGCCCTTTGGAAAAAGTAATTCAATGCGTCTCTTAAGTAATTTTGATTGCAAAGATATCCCAACATGGTTCTGATTTTTCACTTTAGAAACGGAAATTTATCGATGTCACTTTTTTCGTCGCATTTTTAAAAGCTGTGTTCATTAATCAAGTGGTGAAAATGAAGAGTGATTAGCGTACCCGATGTTGTCTAAACCCACCCATGGTTGCCCGAACCTAATTAGGCGTGAAGTCAAGGTTCATTACTCTTTTTCCTGAAATAGAGAACAAGGAAAACAGATCAAAAATCAATCGAAAAGCAGGTGTGAAGAAAAAAGTTAATCACGACAATCAAACTGTCCAACTTATTTGACGTTAATAGATGAATTTACATGCCTAGTTTTTTGCTTTCTCAGTATTTTGGAAAAAATGTCTCTTCTTGAAGATCAACCAGCTTTTCGGCAAATTTTTTATTGCAGTGAAGATAACACTATTTTTTCTGGAAATTTTAACTTGTGAGTTGTTTTTGGTTATTTTTTTTTGCAGTAACGTTTTTCTTTAATGACTAATTCAAGGACATTATTGGCCTTTTCAGTTTATCTACAATATTGCAGTTCTAAAGATAACATTGAGTTGCGCAACACTCATTTCAAAAGGGGTTGCGGAGATTCGTCAGGACCGGGCTATAAAGCGGCGCTATACTTTCTTATTCACATCATTCTATTGTGGCTTCCTTTGTGGGGCAATGCAAAGACAGAAAACAATTAGGAGGTAGAGTGAAATTAGCATAAAATCAATTTTCGCCCCGGACCTTGATTGCCCTAGCTGAACGTCACAAATGCTCCCTAGGGACCCAAATTGGTGAACATTTGGCTATTCACGTGCATGGTGGCTCGGGCACCTAAATCCCCCCGTCGAAGAAAAATTACAATCCAGTCCGGTTTGTTTCAATTTGCCCTCGCTTAATTGAAAGCCATTTGGCCAAGAAAAAGAATCAAAACTTCATTGTGTTCAATTTCATACCAAGAAACAAATTTTAAAAATTACTCTTATTTTTAGTAAGACTGATTATTTTTCTGGGAATAAAAAGTGTTTTTCAGCTTCATTATTGTTTTCCTCGATTGAGTTGGAAAAATTTTTCCCTTGACAGTATGACGCCAAATTTAGAATTTATTTGAAGCTGAAACTATCATTTATTCTAAAACAACATGCAAGAATATCAAACCAAACTAATATAAACCACATTAATACAACAAAATTAAAGTTAAAAACCCGATATTTATTCTATTTAGTAGGTGTTCGGACCACGTATATTAGGCTGATAAAAAACAGCTTAGGGGGTTATTTTGAAACGTAAACTAACTTATGCAAGTTAACCCCTATGCTTTTGGATGCCTGTGGGCCATAAACAACTCTGACACACAGTGGTATACAATATGCCAGTAAAACGGCGTGTGAAACTTTTACCGGGGTGTAAATTTCACGCGGAAACGTGGAAAATAGTGAACAAGCTCGCAGCTGGACTGGTTTTTGTTTATTTTTTCAATACACAAGTTGAAGTCTTTTTTCTATCTTGCAGAGGGAACAGAAATAGTAGAGCCTAGGGGAAGAAGCAACTATTAAAAGAAAACGTTAAGTTTTGGTTTAATGAATTCTGAAGTTGATCGAATTTGAGGCCCGAAAGCATTCAAAAAGATTAAACGACGATTTCCAAAAACGACGTTCTCCGTTCTCTTCCTGTGTTCTGTGTGGCACGGCAGCTCATAAAAAAATTGCCTGTCGGAAACTTGATTTTTCAAAATAAGGTCTTCCTAAGGCTTTGGCAGAGCTTAGAAAATCAACTTGATCAACCTTGAAAAGTACTAGGTTTTGGAGTAGCGTAAAAAATATTTCACAAATATTTTGCTAAAAGATAGTTAAAAAAACAGTTAATAATCTGGTTTGTTGGAAGTTGCCGCAATGCTCACACAATCTGGACTCATCGTTTGTTTGAATATTAACAATCTGCCTCCTTTTCTCGAAAATACTAAATCACAATTTTTTCCAGAGGATACTAAATTTTTTTAATGCTTTAAGGATTGCATTGTCTTATAACTGTTCCATGATAACAGAAAGTGTGTTCTGAATAAATTAGAAAAATGCGCTCTCAAAAAGTAAACTTCAAAAAAACTTCAAGTGAAATCAGAGTGGGTGGTCAAATAATAAAAAGGTTCAACCTTGGACAGAAAATTCAACTTCAGTGATCAGTTTGAAAACATTTGTATGAAACTAGGGAAAGTCAATTATATCAAATATCGTTCCAATTTTTGCTTATCTAAATATTTAGCCTTATTTTGCAATTTTATTGCGTTTATGTAGTTCTAGTTTTATCATCCACCTTTATTGTGTGAATATGTATTGATGCTGCTTTACGAAAAGTTGCAAAAAAACACTATTTAGCTTAGAAAGAGTTTCGTTGACAATGTTTTGTTACCATAACTTAATTATTTTCATGAATTTACACAGAGGTAAAGCGTCGCTTCGCACCACTTGCGATACAACAAAAATGGCACGGCAGTTACCCCAAAAAAGGACGAAAACTGAGTCGAAAAAAAAATAAAAAATCATTTAAAAAACTGGTTTTTTCAGTAGAGTTCGGGTAAATTTAAGGGAAAAAATTGACACGCACAACTGCCAGTGTTAATTTAGCATTACAAATAAAATCATTAAGAGGACACAGAGCAGCAAAACTTCGGTAGGCGACTGTTGAGCCGAAAAAAAAATAAAAATTGAGCTATAAAACATTTTGAGCCAAAAAAAGTTTCCTTAGTTTTACGCCCTTACCATTTCGTCAGCACAGGAGCAATTTAAAAATTTTGATGGTTCAAACGACAGATTACGAAGCAACTAAATAGATATAAAACAGTCAAAACCACTTAAGCCGAAAAAAATCCTCAAGTGAACAAAAAATTGAAAATAATAAGCGAAAAAGAAAACTAAAAACAATAGTTGATTTACAACCAACAATAAAAATTCGAATCAAACGGCCATATAAAATGCAGACAGGCTCAAAAATAATCTGTTGACAGGCATTCTGTTCTGTTGCTATCAGAAAAGCCGTGCTAACTGATTTTTGCCCAAGAATTGTTTGATAATCGAGAAAAAACTGCGACTAGAAACTTTAAGTTTGAACAGACCATTAGCTGCGCAAAAAATCAGAGCAAACAGAAAAGTTTTTTCTTATTTCTAGCTGTTAAAGCCACCAAAATGAAAATCCCTTTTCCTAGATCTATGATTGAAGTTTGACTCAAGTCCTTTATTAAAAATGTGCACGATTTTTTTGTTCGCGATAATGGAAGAATGCTTTCTCCGTTTTATTGTCAAGGATTATGTCTTAGAGCTTTTTACTTTGTTCTAGTTAACCTAGAGCAATCCTACTTGAAGGGTTGAATAACTCTTACAGCATTCCTGGTTTTTTTGTATCAAATCTTTGAGACTGCAAAATTTGTCTGCACCAACTTGAATTCAAAGTCAAAAATTCAAAAAAGGTTGACATGCGTTTAGATCTACCCCATTTGATAAGCATCGTCTGTTTATGGAAGTTTGACCCTTGCTATTATGCTTTAAAGAATGCATGTTACCTCAGTGTGATTTTTTTTGTGTTGGCAGGTCAGAGTCTGTGCTATGCCTTCATCAACTTCAAAGATGCGCGTGATGCATCGATTGCAGTGGACAGACTCAACGGCATCGTAGTCGGCAACAAAAAGATCAAGGTAACTAAGGGAAAAAAATCAAAAATTATTTCCAGGCAGACAAAATATGAAAAATATAATTTAAGTTAATATAAACATTTAATTTAAGTTAAGTTAAGATGCTTAATCCGAAGAGAGATGACTAAGTTGCGGCTTTTTTCATCTCTTTACAAAGAACCACTGCTGTGTCCCATTTTTAACACCTACAATTTTTCGAGTTATTTTTTTCTGAGCTGAGAATTTTCGCTCACCTATTCGCCTACCTATCGATTGAGAAGTTGAAGACCTCACCGCGTATTTCCCGTTTACAGGATTTAAGAAGAATTTGAACTAATTGAGTACTGCCCGGAAAAATCACCATTGGATCTACAGATCCGTTTTCAAGTATTTCCTTAAACGACCGAATTTAGATTACATTTGCTTGTCGAGGTTTGCAGTTCGAGGCACTCACTTATTTGGTGGTCGTTCTAGGAGGACGAGGAAAAAATCTTTGATAAATAAATCACGAAGAACTGATTGCTTTTTTAAAAACTCATGGGTCAGAATCATATTGGAGGTTTTTGCGATTCTAAAGAATCTAACAAAGATCGCTTAATTTTCACTCTACAGATGTATATTTAAGATTTGAAGCAAGATGGTTATCATCTTCTAAAATGGTTATATTGTTAAATCAGGAAAAACCTACACAGTCTACAAGAATAATTCTAATTTGCCATTTATGGAAATCAGGTCATAAAGCGACTTCGAGTTGCAGAAGTTTGTTTCAGGTTTCGTTTGCGCGTCCGAGCAGTCCCTCAATCAAGGATGCAAATCTGTACATCAGTGGGATCCCAAAAGAGGCCAGTGCTGGGGAGCTGGAGGAGCTGTTCTCTGAAGTGGGAACCATCATCACATCCCGCATCCTGACAGACCCCACCACAGGTACCAACAGAAAAAAGGGATCTCTTTAACTATTTCCCCTTTTGCAAATGGGGAAGTTCGTTACTAGGTACAGAAATTCACATATGCTTAATCGTTGAATGAGTTCTTCATAGGGGTTGCAATTCGTTATTAGGTGCCATAGACGGGGGGGGGGGGGGTGAAATGGGTAAAGACTGTTTTTAGAGAAGCGAATTGAGCGTTTTTTTTCAATTCGTATTATTTAGAAGCTATAGCACATTAAAAAAACATTTCTCAAAAAAAATTGGAAGATTTTTAGTTTGGAATTATGTGAGCTTTTGTTTTCCAGGTCAATCACGTGGCGTAGGATTCATTCGCTTCGACCACAGACGAGACGCCGAGCGGGCTATTCAGCGCTTCGACGGCTACCAGTTCGTGCCCCGCAACGGGTCCCTCGGCTCACCAGGAGGCACAATCGAGAAATTGACGGTCAAGTTCGCCAACACCCCCAGTCACCACTCTCAGAAGGCTCTTCAGCAGGCGTATCTAACTGCGAGCCAGAGACGACTGGCGGCCAGTCCACTGGCATTCGCTACAGCAGCCGGCCCATCGCTACACCCGTCAATCAAATCTCTCAGGTTAACTCTTTTTTTTTACAAACTTCAAAGCTGATTAAATTTGGGTTAAGCATAGAAAAAAATCAAAACATCCACATTGTTTAAAAACACAGCTTGATAACTAAAAGTAAAATTTGTCTTATTATTTGAGAAGCTTGTGAGCTTGTGAAAATTGTTTTTTTTTGTGTAAAGCACGAAGTCAATGTAGATTTTTTGCTGCAAAGAATTTTGTTCCTTAAAAAATTCTGTGTTGCTGTGCCGTAGTAGTAGTTGATGTATGATGCAGATCCAACGCTGTTGGGGGGGGGGGGGAGCGGATTACTTGAACTATTGGGGCTTAAAAGTGACGGCAACAAACACCAACTGATGTTGTTTCTATCGATGTTTAACTGAAAAAATCGATTTTTCATTTTGCTCCTGATGCAATCCGCGCTCTGCGCACACCCCCCGCCCTCTCCCAGCGTTGAAGGTGCCTCAAACACTACTGCTACTTTTGTCATGTAGGAATATTTTAAGATTAATTTTAAAACACAGTAATTTAAATATATTGGGACAAAAAAAACAGTTTTTTTTTTGTTACAGTTCTGCAAAATGCTGCGTAGCATATCCCATTGATTCATTTTAATTATTTTCTTTTGATAAAAGACTGCCCCTCAGTTTCATAACGAGTGGGCTACTGGTCTTATATACTTTGATCTAGAAGATGTAAATAACCACATAAATTATACAGATTCAATAATCTGCATATTGTAGGTGGAGCTTTGCAATATGATCCGACCAAAAAAAAACATAAAGAGAGCGTCGGTTTGTTTTATAGCTAAGAGATTCTGTATATTTTGTCAGATTGCTTTAAAGAATCACCTTTTGCGTACTTTAGGAACAAAGGAACATCTGCTAATTTCCATTGCGTATCTAATCGGTATCTTAACACATCGGGTGAAGAGGGATCTTAAATATACGGTGCAGTTGATAGGGAAGCTAATCTGCTTTTACTAGGCTAGTTAATATGACACAATAAAGTGGAATCAGCTGAAGTCACAATAGAGGCTTCTTTTCATTCGGGGGGACAGTAAAACACACACCATTGATCTTTATGTACTCCTGAAGTGTCATCATTTGCATTTTATGATCAGCTGCTAGTCGTAAACTCGCCTTTAAATAAAACCGATCGAGGTTGAACAAAATCTTCATGTAGCGTCAGTCATTTTGATGTAGGATGAAAAAATTCAGTGCGCAAATGGTGCATGCTTTTTAAAACGCCATTGTTGAATCTTTCATTTTTTATCACGGCTCATTTAGAGTCTTACCCAAAAATTAACGCAACTATGCACCAAAAAGATCTTTAAGCAGAAACACCACCCAGTTTGGGCCATAGCGCAGTCTTAGCTTAAAAATACAAAATCCTCTGATGAATACCAAAAAACCTATTTGGTGACCGGAAATAGATTCACCTGGTCTGAACCCTCGGCGCTAAATGAAAAGTGGCTCATTTCACACTTTTTGAGCATAGTGTTTCTAACATGCGAACAATGGCAGGTGTGAGCTGGTTGCGATTTATTATCTCGTTCAACTCCCTTGCACTTACTTCCTGTAGAGTTATGACTGTGATACATTGCAATATCTATAAATAATTTGCTATTGATCCCTTTTTATATTATAAACTTACTGATAAACAGTTTTACTGAAAAAAAAAGTTTGTATTCTCTGACTGATTTTCAATGCTTAAGATCAACTATTGCTTTGAAAGTGGAACTCGTTCAATGATGATCGCTGATTCAGAAAACTGAAAGTAATCTTGAATTCTCAAAGTTTGCGGTTTAGGCGAAATTTTTTAGCCAAGCAGCACAGCAGCCAACGGCCACAGATTAACCTATCCCCTAAAAGCAGCCAAACTCCCCTAAAAGCTGAAAAAAAATATAAATTGTTTGAAATCATGATGTTACTCTAGATTTTAGTTTATCAATGGTCAAAGAGCTTCTGTTTTTTGATGATCAAAAATGACACGTGTTTTTGATATAAAAATTCATTAAAAGTCACACCGGCGGAAAAATAAAAGGGGGCCGCGAGAAAGCAAAATTGCTTTTGTCGGTTGCATAATGCAAAATCACCTGGGAATTGCCCAAATATACACATCCCTCTAAATAACCACAGAGCATGTTGTGATATAATGCAACACGCGCTCTGAATCCTTTATTAGGGATCTCTGAGCCATACGTTGCCCCGAATTAGAGCACAGTAAATGAACAAATTCCGAAGGGAGCATTCAGAGACAAATCGCCCAGATTTATTCAATTAGATTTTTTAATTACGTCCCTATGATGAAAGGCACCCAATTGTTCGGTCATGTCATGTTGAAATGAATTAAACCATAAATCAAACAATTTTTTTGCCCCAAAAGTATGAATTCGAACTGCGATCAAAATATTAAGGATGATGCGGGTTTTATGTATTATAGATAGATAGTTTTCATACACCTAGAGGTTCAAAATAATTCTTTTTTTAATAACAACTAAATTATAAAAGAAAAATTGTATGAAAACTATTCTTGAGATGAGTGTCCCTATGAGTGGATACAAGGAACATTCAGAGTCGGCAAATAAGTTTAGTTCTGAACTTTTGCTCGTTACAGATTTTCCCCTCTCGGCACCTCACCCTCACTCGGCACTGGAAACGAACTCTCCTCGGCTCTCGCAGGCATCCCAGCTCTCAACGCCTTCTCGGCACCCGGTTCGAACCCGAGCACCCCCTCTAACCCATTCTCTACCGGGGCTGCCTCCTGTCTGGGCACATCTGGTCCCGGCTATTGTTTGTTTGTCTACAACTTGGCCAGTGATTGCGAGGACAAAGAAATCTGGCAGCTTTTCGGACCCCTTGGAGCAGTGAAGAGTGTAAAACTTGTGTATGACGAAAACAAAAAGTGTAAAGGTAATGCTACTTTTTCATTCTGACTTAAGCAACAAAATTAGAACATCCGGAAATAGCATTACAAAAAGTTCACGATTTTTGAAACATAATTTTAAAAAAGAATTCATTCATTAAGTGTTTTAACGTTCTACCGTTTTTAACTCTCCGATTTTTTAAGGTTTTAAAATGGTTTGGTTATAAAATGTTTGCAATTGGTAATAAAATGTATTCAAGGTACTAAATTTTTATTCAATTTTAATGTGTTTTAGGGTTTGGTTTTGTCACAATGGCTCATTACGACGAAAGTCTGCATGCCATAAACACACTGAACGGAGCACCTTACAACAATCGCATCCTACAAGTGTCTTTCAAAAGCTCGGTTCCGACTTCAGCTGTTCCCAAACGAAATTGATGAAAAACACTATTTTTTAAACTAAGGAAAAAGGAAACCAACTTTTGTAGATAAAAAAGCTTTTGTGTTCACCAAACAATTTAAAAATCAAGTGAAACTCCGTTCAAATATAATTTTATTGTTTTGATTATTTGTTTCAATTTCAGTCAAAGTTTAACAATTCTTTGTTGTCAATTTCATTTATCTGTTTAGAAATCTGATTAATAATTTAGTTCCCATGTTCAGTTTTGTCAAAATTCAAAATGAAAATTTTTGTAAAATTCATTGATTAGCGTTAATTATAATTTCAGCGATGATTTGTTTAATTATTTAGTGTGGCCTATGCCTAATACATGGAGCTAATGTTAGGTTTGAGTTCATTTTGCGGTTTGTAGCTCAGGTGCTATTCGTGGCGTTATATATTTGCAATGCAACTTCATAATCCCAATTTGTTAGTTCTTACTAAAATTCAAAATATTTAACCTTTCGCTTCAAAAACGTTAAGCTCGAGGACCATTAGTTCAGGATGGTTTACTAAGCGCTCATTGCTGGTTGAATGCTTAGTAATTTTATCCTAAGTTATAAGTCTCACCTTAAATCGTCAAATTGTCTTGACAAAAAGTAGAGTAGAAACAATAGTTAGAAAAGGTATGAATTAATTAGTTGGTTAGATACAGAGCACTGGGTAATTAGATTATATAAGCGAATCGAACAGCTTAAAGAAGTATACCTAAGAGGGGAGGTTGAGCTAATCTTATTTTGTTCATCAATATTTTATCTTCTTACTAAGGTCGGTGGCTGATTTGTATGTATGGTTGCCCTTGATTTTGTCCAAGTCAGCACTTCTGGTTGGGTCGTCTGAATCGTCTTTGCAGTAGTCCTTTGGGTACTTGTAGTCCAGACTTCCTCGGGTGTGCGTATCTCGAGTATCTCGATTTATAATTTTTCAAATCAAACTTAAAATGAGAATTTATTCTCTTTTTATAAGTGAAAAGGGCTAGATTAATTTTAGTGTTAGGGCAGAAAAGAAAAATTATTTATTTTGAAAAGATCTGACTGAAGAGAACTGACTTGCTGCTGACTGAGCAAAATGAAACACTGAAGATTTCAGGCCAGTCCTTTTGCTCGTAAGCATAAACCGGCGGCTGATTCAATCTTTAATTATTCAGGTTTCACCTGCTCCTTTGTTCTCCCTTTTTAATAAGGGAATTTTCAACTAGTTTTTATTTGATTTTTTCAAATCAAATATCGTCAACTTATTAGTCCCCTTTGATAAAAACCGCAGCCTTCCGTTTGTCTTATTAAAAATTCATATTACTCTCTCTGATGCATCATATTGCAGGTGCACCTCTGCTTAATCAAAGCAAGGAGAATTTCAGTGCAGCCGGCAAGACTGCTAAATATTTATCCAGTTTGTTTCAAGTTAAGTTAAAAGGGACGTATTAATAATCGCCGCCCTTTTAAAATATTGAGCATGAAAAAATGAGAAAAATTGGACAAGTATTTAAAAAGGAGTGGATTTTCACAACAAGATTTTATAGTCCTAATAAGAGTAAATCAGTCAATATCTGATTTAGTGAAAAGAGGCTTTAATTTAAATGGCACGCTCCAATTTAGAATTGGGTCGTTAAATAAACAATTATGACAATGGTCTTTTGTGTGTGTAGTATTTCGCAATACTACAACTCACCCCTTTTTTTAGAAAATTAAGCTGTTCGATTCTTACAGTTACCATGGTGAAAACTTAAACACTTTAATGAATAAATACTATAGTTATAACATTTAAAAAACATCAAATGAAAAAGTTATGTAGATAGGTTAGGTTAATGGATTCAAATTTTAGTAAGGTTTTTGTTCTAGAGCTTCCTTCCTGCTTCTAGCTCCACATTGTACGATCTGAGGATCGCTATCTTCCTCTGTGAAGCCTCGAGTTTTTGTTGTAGCTGGACGATTTTCTTCTTCTTGATTTTATTCTTAATTCTCAGTCTGTTCATCACGTCTGTAAGCTCTTCAATATCGTCTTGCTCTTTCTGCTTGGGTCTTGCATAGTTTGGGAAGGCAGTTATTCCCTCAAATGGGATGGTAACTTGCATTCCCCCTGCTTTCAGGATGTAGCCTTGCTCTTCTCTCTTCTTTAGTTTCCAGAAGTTGGTTTCCTCCATTATCACCACTTCTTGTTGGTTATGAACTCGACAGGCATCATCGCCTTTTCCATTGTCGTCGAGTTGACGACTTCAATAAACAATGG